AAAAGCATATATGGCTTGAAGCAATCTTCGAGATGCTGGTTTGATACCATTGATCAGTTCTTAAAGAAATCCGCTTACGTTCAATCCAATTCTGATCCGTGCCTGTACATTAAACGAAAGGGAGATAATATCATGCTTTTAGCGTTATACGTCGATGATTTGATTCTGGCAAGTAACAACAAGAAAATGCTAGAAGAGGAGAAAGGTATTTTAAAGAAACGCTTTGAAATGAAAGATCTAGGTGAAATTCATTTCTGTCTTGGCATTCAAGGTACTTATTCCCCTTCCAAATCAGGCGTAAGTTTCAAAAAATGAAAAAAACAATTTCGTTTGTTTTGGATACATTGAGTATTGTAGTTTATGATTTTGAAGTTTATTTTGTAAAATATTTCATCAAAATACTTGAAAAAGTAAAAAAACTGACACTGTTTAATAATTTGGGCCTTAGCAACGCCTTAGTAACCAAAAAGGGCTTCCTAATATCCACCAAAACTCTCTGAAACCATTTTCATTCCTTGCTACTTTTGACGTATGTTATTAACAAGGTCTTTCGGCTCGTTTTGTCGTAATTCTGTGGTAAATAGCTGTTTGGGGGATGGTATAAAGCTATAAAGAACAGCGTGGCGATCGGGAAGTGTGAGAAATTACGTTCCTTCAATAATCTTTGAATTCTAACATTTTTGTGCTGGGAAAGTTATAATTTTTTGTTTGAAAAATCATTCTCTTTGGTTTTTCTTCTTAATATAATGGGAAATAGTCGCAATAGAAGTAGAAAAAGGGTGAAAATTACCCCTAGAAAACCAGCTAAGAAATTCAAATATGGCGATGATCATGTTGAAAACACTTGTCCTTCTGGCGTCGAAATTGGGGATCAAAGTGCAGATTATGGAGTTGAGCGTGATCATATAGACTCGATAAAAGAAGGCACAATATTTATCGATTTTTGTCTGTGTTGTTTGGCGTTTTTGAAGACGTTTTGAAATGCCCAGAATGCGGAGATGATACAACAGCTCACATTGATTTAAACAAAAAACATGGATTTTCCCAGTATGTTGTTTTGGACTGTCGAGATCCGAGATGTGATTGGAAGCATTGCTTTCATACGTCTAAAAAACATGGGGGCTCGTTTGAAATCAACGTCCGATCTGTGCTAGCGTTTCGAGAAATCGGAAAAGGGCACAATGCCATGCAAACATTTGCCAAGGTAATGAATATGCCTCCTCCACCCACTCGAAAGAACTTCACGAAGATTCAGAACAAACAACTTTTCCCAATAATCGAACAACTGGCAAACGATAGCATGACAACAAATGCATTTAAAGTGAAAGAAGCATGTGGAAATGATGAAGGAGAATGTGGAATATCCCTGGATGGAACATGGCAGAAAAGAGGTCATGCGTCACACAATGGTGTGGTTACTGCTATTTCTCTATCCACAAAGAAATGTGTTGATGTGGAAGTTCTTTCAGATAAATGTAAAGAGTGTCAAAAATGGAAAAAGAAACAAAGTGATCCAAGGTATGAAGTGTGGAAAGCCAACCACCTCTGCAAAATTAATCACTCTGGTAGTTCCAACAGTATGGAAACAGTTGGAGCAGTTAGAATTTTTGAAAGATCAGTGGCGACACGAGGACTAAAATATATTCACATGCTTGGTGATGGTGATTCCTCTACTTATAACAATATTGTTGATAGGAAACCCTATGGAGATGAGCTAATACCAAATAAATTAGAGTGTATTGGTCATGTCCAGAAACGAGTTGGGAGCAGGTTGGAGGTTGAAGAATGCTAATAAAGGTGTAAAACTTCAGGATGGAAAAGGTTTAGCTGGTAAAGGAAGATTGACAGATGGAAAAATAGACATTTTACAAAACTACTATGGTCTGGCAGTAAGAAACAATCTCAATGATGTTGAAAAAATGGCTAGGGATATAAAGGCTTCTTTGTATCATGTTGCATCCACAGACGCCAACCCACAACATCAGCTTTGTCCGGATGGAGAAAACAGTTGGTGTCAGTATAAGGTCAGCCCAGAAACATACAAACATAAGAATGGTTTAGCTAAATGTATTGTTGAACTAATTGAACCAGTTTTGACAGTTTATGTGACCAAAGGCTATTGGAGAAATGCATGGTTTAACACAAAACGTTAATGAATGTTTAAATGGGTTGATTTGGGAGAGATGTCCTAAGTCAACTTATGCAGAGAAAGAAACTGTTGCACTTGCCACATATTTAGCAGTGCTAAAGTTCAATGATGGAGATATTTTCTTTATAAAGATCTTTGAAGATTTGAATATAACACCAGGAAAATTTTCTTGGAAGCAACAAAGTGTCGACATCAATAGAAACAAATGTTCCACAAAACAGAAAACAGAAACAGTAAAGAACAGAAGAAAATTTCTAAGACACGAAAGGAAAAGTTATATGGACAAAGCTGAGGCTATTGAAGGGCCAACTTATGAAAAGGGGGGGTTCTAAGGCACTTTACAGATATATATTATAAAAGGAAACTTTAAATTGCTCTTTTCTGCATTCATTGATTTTACAAGAATGGGTAGTTTTTGTGACATCATAATTTTGTTGGAATTTGATGCAGAAAATTGAAATTTGGTATGTAGATAAAACACAACTTAAACTAGTGCCTGACGTTTTTAAAATTTAAAATTTCTTAATTATGTTTTAATTATCATGTATTTGCATATTAATTAGTGGGGAGTTTTATGAAAAATTTAGATTTTCTTCAATATTTTTTTATAAAAAAGAATTTTTGAAAAAATAAAAACGTCAGGCACTAGATTATGTTCTAAGCTTTCCAAAAATGTATCATTTATGATATTTAACTTGTTCAATTGCACAAAATCATGTCACGCGTCAGTGCTAATTAGCCGGCCGCCATATTGGCTCATTAGTGTAATTAACAAGAATGTGAAAATTTTTTTTTCTCAATTAGTTTCCCCAGTCAATGCAATTCAGAAAATGCCAAAATTCATATTATTTCATGTAAATTGTACAAAAATCCATTGAAGGGAAACGAGACAGGGAAAAGAAACAAATGCGACTTCATCAATCAAAGTATTTGACGAATTTATTGAAGAGATTTGGAATGCAAGACTGCAAACCTGTTGCAACCCCCGTTGAGCTCGGAACCAAGTTGTTAAATAATGAAGGAGAGCCAATGAACATAACCCAATATCAAGCATTAATTGGCGCATTAACGTATGCAGTTAAAGCGACAAGACCAGACCTGGCACAAGCACTTTCAACAGTTAATCAGTTCTGTGCTAACCCTAGCCAAAACCATTGGAATGCTGCCAAACGTATTTTACGTTACATTAAAGGTACGATTAACCACGGCATTTGCTTTGATGGACAAAAGGAATCCGAAGTTAAATTAAGTGGATTTGTTGATGCTGATTGTGGATGTGATCCAAATAATCGAAAATCACATTCAGGATACCTATTCATGATTTGTGGTGGATTGGTAAGTTGGGCAAGCAAAAAGCAAAGTATTGTAGCTCTCTCATCTACTGAAGCTGAGTATGTTGCAGCATCACAAGCATGTCAAGAAGCAATATGGTTAAGAGGCTTACTACATGATTTAAACTTCACTCAAAAGGAACCAACTATCATAAAAGAGGATAATCAAGGAGCAATAAGTTTGTCGAAAAATCAAAAATACCATCCAAGAACGAAACACATTGACATAAAATATCATTTCATTCGCGACAAAGTACTGAAGAAAGAAATTGCACTTGAGTATTGTACGTCACAACAAATGATTGCTGATATGTTAACGAAACCATTAGGAAAAACTGTATTTCAACGAATGAGATCTAATATGGGAGTAACAAATATTTAAAGGAATAGTGATTAGTTTATATTTTTCGAAAGGGAGTGTTAAGATATGAACATCACGCAAAAAACATAAACAACATAGCTTTGCATGCATAATGAAGTAGGTATGACAAATGTCAGATCAAGTGACATTGTGAACTTGTTAATTGTAATATCGTTGTTCGCAGATACTTAAGTTGTTATTTTGTTCAAGAATAAAAATCCAAATATTTCATACATTTTCCGAACGTTATTGCAGAATCGCGAATAATTTAACAAATTTTAGAGCTGTCATACAAGCGTCGACGTGTAGGCCCACCCATATTTTTCCCCATCCCCTCTCCTCCACTCTAGCCATTGTACCAATACTCGTGCTCTAAATACTGGTCAATTCATGTGCAGTACTCTCTCTCCTACAGTTCCTGCACTCCTCGCTAATGACTAATAGAATTTTATTTAAACTTCGATTTAAGGTAAGTCTCGTTTAATTTCCAATTGTTAGCAAAGTGAGACACCTAAGGATCACACACTTGAATGTGAGAAATGATTAATACAGCAAAGTTTGATCATAGCATGACCTTAAGATGGACTCTGTTTTTAAAATTACAACCAAATAATTGTCAGATGACAAAGATTGTTTCGGCCAAATTTGGTCTTAACAATGTTTTTCGTTGTGCAGCTACATTGCAATGAATGAAAAAGTGTCCCACTTTGCTCCAGGTTACGCTAAGATATCACGGGAAAAACGACGAAAGTGTTTTATGGCTAATGACGAGTCACGGTTTTCTAATATGTCTCATCAAAAACAATTAATAACTGTTGATGTAAATGACAAGTTTTAGCTCTACAAGCTGGATTTCTTTGTATACGATTCAAAAATAAAGTTTGAAAAAGTAATTGCAATTCTAAGAAAAATACCAACGTTTACCAATACAAAGAAAGATAAAGAAACAAAAACTCAAATTAAAGTGTTGAGGAACGAGTTTTTCTAATCGGAGCGCACATCGTCATCTTTGAGAGATAAGTAGTTTATATGAAGACAGACATATTAAAATAGTCTTATCACTTCAGCACTTTCAGTTGGTCCGCAAGCTTTGCTTTTATTATTTAAATCTACAGCTTGGATCGTGAATTGAAACACCGACGTTAGAGCTCTACAGTTGTAAACGTATTTTTTTTTGTCAAATTCAATTTCGGTCTATTCCCTTATGCAGTGAACGATTCTGACGATAAACTTTTGATTGAAACTCAAAAAAGAGCCGATCACCAACCGTTGTTGGAGTGATTTTTAATTTAATAAGCATGCATAAATATTGCACACAAAAAACAAACTTTTGTTTCTTAGAATCTAACTTGGAAATATTTGAAATACAAATACTTCATCGAAATTTCAATCAGAACATGGTCAAACCATGTTTTAACAATTATAGCTACTTAGCTACGAACAATCACCCATAAACCGGAAAAACGGCAAAGTTAATTCTCGCTAACTTCGGCAATCTTTGTGGTGTATTTACGACAATACTAAATACACGACGATAACAACAAATGGCGAAAAAATAAATTGACCCGATTTGTCAAAACCTTAGAAAGGGAAAATATATAACAGGTGCATCTAACTTCGAATCCTACCTTCCCTGCCAGCCAGCGAGAAGTTCTGCACGACCAAGATACGTTTTGAAATATTCCTTATTTCCACTTTTGCATTCTACAAAATTCAATGCAACATTATAGGAAGCTCATAATCGCACCGAAAAAGAAAAGAGCCAACTGCCTAACCATAGCTCAATATACGTGTATACAGTGTAAAAATAGATACGTGTATACGTGGAAAAATAAATTGGTCAAAATGACAAAAAAAATTGGTCATTTGAATGCACCTGAGAAGAACAATTTTTATAGGTCAAAACAACCAATTCCTAAATTGGTCAAAAATACCAAAAAACAAAAATGGTTAAATTTACCAATTTATTTGACCAATTTTATTTGGTTGTTTTTACCATTAAACAAGCATTTTTTTCAGGTGCATATCAATGACCATTTGACCAATATAGAGGATCTTTTTAACTAAGCTAAAGAAAATCAATCACACAATTAGAAATAGCACATTTTTTGCAAACACAGAATACTTAAAACCTCTACTACATGCCATTAAATAACACTACAAAAGTTTTCTACTTCATAGAAGAAATAAAATGATCGACAAAAGTTGGCAATTGAGCCAAAAATAAGAAAAAGAAATGAAACCTTACTTCAACTCCCTTGGTGTGTTTGAAAAAAGGTAGTCATGCAGAAGCTTCCAAGCCCTTGTATTGTTCACGAAAATGTCTCTACGCCGATGAGCAAAGGTATTGTTCATCAACACATTGATCTTGCTCATGTCTTGCGAGCCAATATTAAACATTTCAACCAACTGCTTTTGTTGAATTACAATAGCTGCTTCTGTTTCACCTTCTGGAAGAGATGAGAGAGAATTGCAAGCTGATTTCCTACTTTTCCTACCAGGTTTTCCCTTTGGGCCACCGCGTACTTTGCTTTTGAGCTCGGGATGCTCTTCTTTGCATATTAAGGACTCGGTCTGCTATTTTGTTTGCCCATAGTTGCTGGAAAAACAAAACAATGACAGTACTTTATGAAACTGAATTATGCAGCAATATAATTGATTTTTTTAACCTACATGACCAGAACCAAATGATCCCTTTAAGAATGGATACTTTTGAATTAACATAAGAGCAATGTGTTTTCTTTCATGAACAGTTGGCGATTCATTATGTGCCAAAATTGAAGAAGTTAATCGCCTCTTTAATGCATTTTTTTCATTGGGATTTAGTTCCTGCCTTTTTTATGCCTCCTCCACTGCTGGTTCTCACTAAACACAAACAGCATGGTTTAAAATGATATGGCAATCTTTATTAACATATATTAAGCTTGTAGTGTGTACAAAACTAAGTTATAATGCTACTTACTCTTGTTGGCAAACAAAACTTGGACAACCAATTGGAATTGTTCACATTAGCTGTCAAGGGACTCCTTGGAACATTGTCCTTGAGATGTCTCTCTGGTGCAATGTTCTTAAAAAATAGTAAAATTCAACCTTAACATACAACATAAAGAAGTAAAGAAATAACGCAGCAAAATATTTATGAACTACATAAATTGTATATTTATGAACTAGCATTAGAACAAATATTGTATACAAATAATGGCTTCAGCCTTCATACCTCATCATTTTGATGATCAGCTGAAGTACTAAGAACAATGTCTTCATTTACATCCAAGTTGATGGTTCTTATGTGGCTTGAATAGATGTGCGAGTGCACTGTTCAAGCTGATTCTGACAAGCCCTGTTAATAGAGGATTGAATCATAAATTCTACTTATAATGACTCTTCATCAAACATAATACAACATAACTAAAGCATAGATGAACAAAACAATATATAGTAAGCAGACTAAATGCTTTTAAGCTATTTCATGCAAAATGGGAGCAATGGTTCATCTGGATCCACACAATTACAAGACAAACAAGTCAAGCTGGATTGCTTGATACCTCATCATGATTTTCTTGTTGATCAGCTGAATTACTCGGAATGTCTGGATTCACATCCTTGTTGATGGTTCTGATGTTGTTGGAAGTGACATAAGAGTGTGTTGTTGAAGCTGATGACCCCTGTTAATAGATGAAGCCTGAAATTTTACTTCTGGTGATTTTATAACGACACAATCAAAGCACATGGCAGTAAAATATATAATCAACAAACCAATAACAAACCAAGTATTTTGAACCATTTTAATAAAGAAAACCTGTAAGGCTTCAATTTACCTTTTGAGTAACGTCATTCCAAATACACGTAAACTTCTTGGGAAGTTTTATTCGAGGAATCATCTGATAAATATCATGTGGTTCTAAATTGAAAAAATCCTCGCCGTCGACTTGATTAGCTTTAAAAATATAAGAAGCAAAACGTCAATGAAATTACGTTATTGCTGTTGGTATTCTCTAAAAGCGCTCGACCAAATCTGCCTGCTAGCAAAACGTAAACAAGGCAAGTCATCTATAAATCTAATTTTGAATTATTTTCTACACTAGATTTATGCACGAGACAACAACCCTCACACATGCGACCTACATTTCAGGATGAGACAATACCTTTAAAATCTTCGACAATTTCATCCAATTTGTTGTTTTTCAAAAAAAGAATAATGTCAGCGACAGATGATTGTTTGTTGATTTCCATTTTGCCCACAATACAAGAGTTTAAACGCTTAAATGAGCTTCAACACAGCACAAGAAGTTTAGAAACACGCCACGCGACTACATACATCGGCAACCATTGAGCTCTATAAGACCTGGAGGGGCAAAGGGGCCTGGACCCCGTGGTCAAAAACATGGCGGTAATGGCGGATTTTGGTTGTCAAAACTTCCACTTTGAGAAAAATTTTTAACATTCGCTCCCTCCCGAAACGGATCTCTATTCCTGCGTATATAAAAACAACCAGCGAAAACAACCACGATACCGTAAGCATAAAATATTGAAAATAATGCTTCAGGTTTTTGTGAAATAGACACACACATTTAAATGAGGTAAATCTACTGTAAAATAACGTATATTTTGTCAAGTAATGCTTTAGCTATATTAGAAATAAATATCAAACGGCATTCTTTACACTGTCAATGTGTTGTTAAGCTTTATGCATAATCCCATGCGCATTACTTGTGTTTTTGACTGTTTGTTAACAGCTTGGTGCAACTGTCTTTCTTGAATAGAATTGATTCTGGGTGTCTTATAAAGTATTATGATATTCTGATAAATCTACTGAGAACTTATGAAGAAAATATCTTGAACTAGGAGAGCAAAAGAACGAAATTCAGAAATTCTATAATCATGTTGCTGGTTCTGTTTTGAGCCAAGATATTAGAAACTGGATTGTAATTGACAACCATGGATCTACTACTGAACAGAACTACATTAATTTCCCATTGAAAATACGATTTCATAAATTAAAGTGCATTGGTTTCTCTGACATAACACTTTTCTTATTGCTGAATGAAGGCAAATCTGTATAAATAATTATAATGTAGGTGAAGATATTTAGCATGTTGTATAATTGATATTGTACAGTCATTATTTATAATATTATGGCCTTGTGTAATGTATGTCAAGAACTTATTAATTCTCAAAAATGCTAACCTTCTTGCACTACTTTTCTCTTGTGTCCTTACAAATTGCAGTTACCTATACTAATTTTTTTTAGGTTCAAACAACTTGACAAACTTTTGAATTGTACATTATGCCTTTGAATTTTTGCTTTCATCTTTTGATAAAAATATCAGTGAATGACTTAAAAATCAAGTTTATATAAAACAGTATTTTGTACAAAGAAACTATACATAATTGGAAAAGTCTCATGTTGAAAACAGATGTCGCTTCTTTTACTAGATTGCTACTCTTATTCTTTTAAATGATATCATAATTCTTCAAGACAAAAAGTTTTTTGCCATCAATTTTTGCTTGTTCCACATTCAACTTCATTGCAATCAATGCATCTTATGTGAATTTTTAATCACCTGTAATTGAAAAATGTATGGATTTTGTCAGATGATGCAGTACTATATTTAAGGTTACATGTCATCATAATAAGCTTATCTTGAGCAAATATTTCAAGGTAGGAGCATAATTTGGCACATTATTGAACAAAGTAGTTTTTATCTTATTTCTTATGTACTAACCTGTTTACTACAACAAACAGTTCATTTACAGAAACACCAGATGGCATTTATAAAACTTTTAGCAAAAAGCAAACCTTAACACACCATCATCAAGATTGTCCATAATCTGTCAAATTGTCCAGGCTAGCTGTTTAATACAGGTATTTTTTATTGTACGACATGTACCAAAGAGCTCATTAATTAATCCTGCACTGCATTTGATTTCAATACAGCTCTGTCCTTAATATTTGCTTCATATTTTCAGAAAAATATCATGAAAAAATCCTCCATTTCAACTTAGTTGAAACAAGGAGTTTTAAGATATGCATATCTCGATAAGAACTGATTGCTTTGCCTCGTCTAGCAATCGATTAAGTAAAGAACAAATAAGACTGGATAAACATAACTTAAATTATAACTTAGGAGTAAAAACATTCACAAAATTTATGCCATCACACTTCAAGTATTGACTTAAAACAAAAACTGAACACTTTAAATAGTACACAATCTTTCGTTGCTTACCGGTGTCATGAAATGTTTCCTTTTCTGGCATTACTTCAGCATCCGTATACCAAACAGGTTTGCAGCATGTTTTAAAGATAAAATTTCTAAAGTCTTTGTGCTTGGCATTGATATTTTATATAATCGCAATTGTGGTTGTCAAATCCGGGTGGGCGAAAAAAATTTCATTTTATGAGCCCGCGTCTTTCCGCTGACTTTGACAACCAAAATCCGCCATGTTTTTGACCACGCGGCCGCGCGATAATAATTTATAGTAATTTTGATGACGTTTCCCCTCCAGGTCTTATAGAACTCAATGTCGGCAACAGGCAGTCAGGCACGTGCCGCTTTGCGTAATGGGATGTCAAGTGGGCAAATCGACCAATCGCCGCAAGTTCGCAACTAATTGGACAAAGAAATGCACTTAATGACACTTAATATTGATCTGATTTTACTCATTTATTGCTCTAACAAACGGTAACGGAGTTGTCACTTGACTAGTGACGCGAGAATATTCGTAATAATTCAATTAATTATGCCACGATTGTGTTGTCAGGTATGTGCAACGTTTTTTTCAACGTCTGTCGCTGGAATGTTGCGTCATTTGGTCGCTGTTCATGAACACGATGCCAGATTGCATATTATCTGCGAAGTGCCGGAATGTAATTCAACCTTCGCTAAGGTAAGCTTTTGATTCTTGATACGACACTGATTTGTTTGTTATTTGTTAAAAATATTTACTTATTCAGTGCGTTCACGGAGTTGTTGTTTAGTTTAACTCTTACAAAAGTCATCTTAGAAGAAAGCACGCGAATGTTGACTTAAACTCAAGTGATCTATGTTGCGTTGAATCAGCGAGTAGCACTCACAACAATTTTTGTCCTGATGAGGATGGCCTTGAACTCTTAATTGATGAATTCAACAGGGAAATGAACTTGATGACTCTGTTCAAGCAATGGAACACAAAAAAGCTCAATTTCTTCTAAAAACAAAAGAAATCAATCTGCTCACACAAAAATGTGTGGATAACATTGTAGAAGATTCCACTGAACTTGTCCAAGGAACAGTCAAAGCAATTAAACACGGTTTGCAAAATTGCTTAGAGAAAGCTGGATTAAATTATAATGATGTGCCAGGTCTTGATGAATTATTTGATGAAGGACATGCTATCTCAAATCCATTCAAACATATTTCCACAAAGTATAAACAGAATGCTTATTTTGAGGAGCATTTTGGCTTAGTTGTAAGTTTTATTTCTATGTTTTTTGACTTTTTTTAGAATGTTTAGACTTTTTGGATAAAGTTTTTTGACATTTTTAACATATTTGAGCCAGCTGCTCTTTAGTGCTTGTTATGCATAATCATTATTTTAATTGTAGCAACCAGACGAATTAAACTTGGACACAGAGTTGTGAAAAGATGTTCAAGGACTGTGTACAAAGAGGTTATTAAAGATGACGAAATCATGTACATACCACTGCTAAAATCCTTGGAAAAAATGCTCAATGTAAAAGGAGTACTTGAACAGGTCAGATTGTTAATAGCATGGTTGTTTGTTTTTTTTATGTTGGAAAGTTTATCAAACTATGACAACTACATCTTTGCAAGTACCCATATCAACAACAGGGTTGCAAATTATTAATACATGTTCTATGTATAACCATAAAAGGAAGTTTATGTGTGTTTTACTGTGTTAGTTTCCATGAAAGCAAAAACAATGATGACATGCGTTTATTAGAGCACATTTCCAAAAATACATTCCAATTATTTCATGAAAATATGAAAATAGCCTGATTTTAATTTGAAATGTCTGATGGTAGGAAGGCACCCATCCTACCAACAGACATTTCCATTGCTGGTTAATAATAAATTTAATTTATTAATATATTTAATATTTTCATTCTTCGATTTCAATTTCAGCTAAACCATGGTCATCTTCCGCAACATAAACATGATGATGTGATTGAGGATGTTTGCGATGGCCAGTATTTCAAAACCCATCCTCTGTTCTCCAAGGACTCGACTGCTTTACAAATCATGCTTTACTATGATGAGTTGGAAATTGCAAATGCCCTTGGTATTGAAACTGGAAAGCATAAGTTAGGTAATAGTTTAATGACATCATATTGACTAAATCAGTCACTCAAATATAAAAAAGTGTATGAGCAATGAAAGGCCATAAGAAGCTTTTATTACATCATATGCTATTATTTCTGTATGACAGGAGTTGTTTACTATACAACTGGAAATATTGATCCTCAATATCGTTCCCAGTGTGATAACATTCACCTACTCCTTATGGCAACAGCTCTAATTATCAAAAAATATGGCATTGACATTCTCTTGGAGCCTTTCATGAATGACCTTGAATACCTTGAATAAGTAAGTGATCCTATTTATTGTTTTTTAGCTTATTACCTGTTATTGATAATTGTACAGAGTAAGTAGTTTGATAAAAATTGCTTAAAATTAACTGTCACACTTCTTTTTTGGGGATGGTGGTCACCAGTTCATTGTTAAAGGTAAACCTATGTCATTTTCTGGGACTATTGTGTTGGTTTCTGGAGACAATCTTGGATCACAACTCATGGGTGGATTCAAAGAAGGTCCAGGTGCACATTTGAAATGCCGGCAATGCATGGCGACCACTGAACAAATAAAGCAGAAGGTATGTATGTTTATGATAATACATGATTAACCTGTTTCAACATAGATCAAATGTTTTATTATGGTTTTTAGCAGACCAGAAACATACACTTTAAAGTAAGTCTTTCAGTTTTTAGAAAAACATTTTACACTTCGAACTCATGCTGGTCATGACCACCAATGTGAACTGATTGAAGAAAACCCAGAACTGAGTAAAGCATATGGTCTTTGCAGGAGATCAATTCTTTGCAACTCTAGGTATTTTCATGTAGCAGATGGCATGCCAGGTGATGCAATGCATGATATACTAGAAGGAGTACTTCAGTATATATGTAAAGAATTGCTGAAGGACTTAAAGAAAAATTTTTAACAGTGGAGCAACTTAATGAAAGAATTAACTCTTTTGATTATGGATATTTTAATGATAAAAGCAAGCCATCACCAATCACCCGGACAACTTTGAGGAGTGAAAACAATAGTTTAAAGCAAAAAGGTAGGGTGTAGTGATTGTCACAGGCATTAATACCATCACCCTTGATTTAAATGATTGGTTTTACTTTTTATAGCAAGACAAATGTGGTGCCTTGTAAAATTGCTTCATTTAGCTCTCGGCAGTGCCATTCCTCGGGATGAAGAAAAGTGGATGCATTTTCTGTTGCTCCTTAAAATTGTTGACATTGTTTTTTCACCAATCACAAACACTGATGAACTTGCTATCCTGGAAGGATACCTGAAGGAAGTTTTATGGAAATTCACCCAGCTTTATCTTGGGCTTTCAGTTATACCGAAGATGCATTACTTGGTTCATTACCCAGCTCATATTTAAAGGTATGATTTTGCTGGTTTGTATCTTAGTTTATAAATAAAAATATGGTATGTAAGTCAAAATGCATGTAAAAATTACATCATTCGTTTCTCTTTAGCTAGCATGAGTCCTTGATTTTTTCAGATTTGGACCAATGATTTGGAGCTGGTGCATGCGATATGAGTTACTTTAAAAGATTGGCTTCATATCTTGGAAACTTCACTAATGTTGCACTTAGCCTTGCTGAATGACATTAAACCAGAAGTTGCTATCTAAGAAATCAACCCATTGCAAAAAAGCCTAAAATTGGTAGGATTTTTTTGAATAGATTGATTTTAAATCGAAAAACAAAGAGGTCAATTTTTAGTAACCTCTCTCGTAAGACAATAAATTGATGTTTGTGTGTTTCTTTAGATTCTGCAAAAGAAGTTGTTGCTATGGATAGTGAACATTATTATTTGCTCAAAGAGAAGGAACCTAACTTAAGTGACATTTGTATTTTGTCAAGGTAAAGTACACATAGTGATTATTTTTATTACAGATGATGGTGACTATTGCAAGAAAAATTGCTAGTACTTTATAAAATGAAACCATGGCTGTAATCTGACTCTTAGACAATTTTAGATCCAACTAAGATTCTGTGGGTTTTGCACCCATTATGTGCTTAATTTGCGTCTTAGTAAGCATAAGCAAGTCAAGGCCGTCAAGTGCTTTTTTGGTAAGTCGTATAGTCACTCCGGTTCCGTCTCTGACTGCCTTTGCCAGGTTATTTTTCTGAGTCGTTGAAAGTGTAACGCTGTGAACTGTGTAGTTATTACGTCCACCACCTTTAGCAGCTGCACCTCCTTTCCTAACTACACCACTACCAGCAACTGCTTTTTGCGTGCTGCCGGTGATAGCACCCGATATAGCTGCTAGGCCTAGAGACGATAACATTTTTGGTATGAGTTTAGTGACCCTAGGTATGAGTTTTCCAATAAGATTTCCAATAAAGCTACCACCTTCAATACTTCTTGACCAAGGAAGATAAATACCAGCGCCTTTAAATTCCTGAGTGATTACTCATTCCATGGCAGGTCTGAGAGCTTTAACAAATATTGCGTTATTAATGTCCGACATTTTTGTGCACATGCAAAACAATTTGCGTATACAAACAGTCGAAAAATTTTTATTTTATTAATCTTATAAATATTTTTAACTAATAACATAAGCAGAACATGTTATACTAATTCCTGCCACCAGCATTAATGGCGCTACGAAAAGCTTGGTTCAATGTCCAACGAATTCTAATGTTTGCCTCTTTTTTTCTCAAAACATCGGCATGATGACTTACATCGAAATGGTAAATAGGAAACAGGCTTGCAAAGTCTCTTAAGCTTACTTGAGAGCCTGTATCTGGATCGCTGTACTTCATTGCAGCGTCTTAAAACATCATGTAGACTCTGCTGTAATTGCTGTTAGCAGCTGTGTAATTAACATCAAGCTCTTTTTCAGGAAAGCCACAAAAATGTGAGTTGGTAGCTCTTCACTACTGTTTATTGTTACAAGCCACGATGCAATGACCTGATTAGGGCCAAATCGTTTTTGGTAGATACGATTTTGCTCGAAATATAGCGTGCGTGTGTATCCAGCGACCAACTTGCTTTCTATCATAGTCTGCACTTCGATTGAAAGCCTGATGTAAGGAACCCAAAGCGAAAGATGATTTATCTTAAATTTTCCAGCACCAACCCCATTTGCTCTATGAAGTATGTTTTCAGCAGTGTCGCAAGTAAGGTTCAAAGTAAACTCTACACCAAAGAAAGCCGAGTCAATGTCTTTGACGAAGCCCAAGATGTCAGCGAGAGGAAGCATCATGGTGACGTCTTTAGCACCGGCGCAAAGCTGGCGGCAAGCAGCGAACCCAATGTTGAAGTTAGGGTTTTCTGTTGCGTTAAGATCTAAGTTAAAGTATTGCCGAAAGAGGGCGCCAGTCACACCAGCTGATAAGCAAAAATATGTATTTGCTCCTGATAAGGGATTCTAAGTTCTGTCTTGTTATAATATTAATATACGGTTAGAAATCAAAATGGGAACAAAAAATTATTGTTATACTCACCCGATAATCCGAAACATCAAAATAATCAAGTAAAAGTCTTGTAATAAGGTTTCTATTGGACGTCTTTACATTCCAATTAGTGATTTTAGCTTTGTATTATATTTAATATTGTGTCCAAGAGTAAGAAAATAAACTGAAACATTATTTTGTTTTTGTGAATTATATTTAATGACTAGCAAAGATATTATTTACATCATTTGTGTGTATTCTGTTATGTACAATTTATTTGCAAGCTTTTATAGTTTTCTTAAACTTGGTGCAGTTATTGTGAGACTGATTAAGTACTGGAAATTTAAGTATACTTACGTAATTTTAAGGTAAAGTTCGTAAGTTTAAGTAGCAGGTTTGTGTAAAAGTAGGACTGGCTATTTTCTCTAATGCTATTACATAAATCTAGATAAGTAATATACGAACGTTATGTACATCACTACATAATTACATAAAATATGCATTCACTATGGTTTGCAGAATGTACGTTTGGTCTGTTTCACGTGATTCTACTGCTTCATGTTTTCTTGTTTTTAGCTGTTTATAAATGCAGGATGAACCAAAAATTTTGCGCCCATTTTGTCGTTTGGCGCCCTTATATAATCCTTCCTCGGAGGGCCATGGCCCCCTGTCAACACGCCACTGCTCATCAATTCACATAAGAATAAAAAAGTTATGACAAAACCCACGCTGTTTGTAGTGGATTAACGAAATAAAACATGCTTTTAAGATATGTTGATTAGGAAACGAAGAAACATACGCACCCTAATTTACATATCAGTTCCAGAAGTAAGCATGTAAACATTGAGAATGAAAAGAAAGTCCATTGCAGTTTTACGAGAACTTTTACTTTAAGCAACAAAAAATGTCTTGACTTTGGCATATTCCAGTAAAAAACAATGGAAATGTGTCACTCTGCTGAAGATTGTCACTGACGTTACAGCTGAAAAGGTCATTGAAGTGTTAAAGTTCACATAGTCGTAGAAAGTGAGGGGGAAATGGGTGTAATTCAGGACTAAAAAAGATGTTGAATTTCATTGCATACCAAGTGACAACAAGTCTGTTTTACTACACGTGACAGCCTGCATAAATCATGTAAACAATGGGTCAACTTATCATTGAATACACCGTCCACCCCCTAACTTCTAAAAATTTGTGTCTGCAGAAATGGACATGCGTTTACATTAATATGGTTTCATTTAGATTTATTTTGAGAAGGTAATATAGAGTGGTTTTTGTAAAAATAAGATATATTTTAAATTTTACTGCGTATTTTAAAGAAGTATAAGAAAATGCTGAAACTTATAACAGTGAATGTAAGGGTATTTTCCTTGATTACACCGGATATTGATTTGGTGAATATTAATGCTTACTTCTGGGATACATGTTAGTGGATAGAACAGACTCTGACGTCAGACCTTGCCGACCTCGTTGTCGTTAAAGTCAGTTATTGTGGTTTAATGTCGTCTTCACTGAAATGTGTTCTGACAATTTTTGTTCCGGTAAGTGTGAATTTTACCTGTTTTTATCATGTTAATGGGAATTAGCAAAGCCAAAACAATCAATACATCGCAATAGGTTATTTTATTTTCAGGATAACTTAAACACAACGCCTCTTCGTTGGAAATTTCCACAGAATATTTTAACTATGGGATTTTAAAGTATTTGCCTTTTGAAACGCTTTTATTTTAATGTGTAATGACCGACATGCGTATCGTTAAACGGAGGAATACTTTGCAATAAAAGTTTTCGCTTATTGAGTTCTTTCATCTCCACAACAGTAGAAAATTAGCTTCAGTTAAATGGTTGAGATTAAAATGTCGAGCGTCAGGTATCTAAGAACGTTGCTTGATGAATTAGTTTGAAGTAAACCATATTGCCGTTTATTCATGAATAAGAAAACAAAACTGAAAATTTGTTTTTTCACCATTCAACTCTCTATATTTGCCAGACAGTTGCTGGTTTCAAAACAAAATAGTGGACACTAAGCAATTATACTTCTTCTGTCACAACTCTTTCGTATGTTAGTCTATAGGAATATTTTATACAGATCGAGGCTCTAGAGTCGAGACACACATGAATGCATTACCAGTAGATGTCACTTTACAAACAATGCAAGGGATACAAACAAAATCATGCTTCCCAGAAACGAATGAAAGCAACTTCGAAATATAGTCGATTTTTTTAGGTATTCTTATAAATAGGGCTTGTTCGAGAAAGGAAAGAGAGTTGTGAGATGTCTTCCAATTTCTCTGATGATGAATCTGAACGTTCACCAGCTCCGAACTTTCCTGAATATGAGATATGTATGAGCAAGGTATAAACCATAAAATATTTGAAATATTGAACTTCTGGTGAGCTTTTCCCATTAAGATTAAAACATCTCTTTTTTTATTTAGAAATTAGACGGTATTTTGCCATCGCATGTCGTCAACATTGAAACAAATATGGATATACGTTGTTTGTGTTATTTTTCATCCTTGAAAAGTTTCTTGTACAGTTACAGGAGCGATGCACTAGGACTTATAAGTGAAGATTTTAAATCTGATGTGAAGAAATTCATGGATATAAAATTTGAAAAGAACTCGAAAAATTATTTGTTGGCCTTTGACCCTGAAACAAAATGGGCCGTCTCTTGGGACGGTTCGTTAATCGCTGCAAGTGCAGGACTCGATGTGTATCATCGTCACAAATATGATATTATCAATTTTGCTTTGATTGTTTTTGCCATCCCAGATAATGAGGTCGGCAAGTTACCTAAACCGGTATATTGCATAAACTGTTTTCATGCTTGCATTTCTCAAATTAAGTTCTTTCCAGATGGAAAGAGAATTGCCGTCACTATTCTTTTGAATCCTGATTTTCCCCATGACTTGGATCGTTTTTGGTGTCGCGTGTATAAACTACCAGACGGTTTGTGGAACTTAGAAGAATCTATAAAAGGAGGACCCGACCAATGGATTAATCTTAAAGTTGATTTTAATGGAGTTGATTGCATTCAATTAGGTTGCCCTATTCTTTATACGGAACTTGAGGAAAATGAGCGTGACGAGCAAGTGTTAAAAGAAAGATGTGAAAGTGGGAATGAAAGTGGTGTTGAAGATTATTTAGATTTGCGGATGGAGTATCTTGCTGATGGCTTCAATTGTTTGGCTCTGTCTCCTGATGCCAGCCGTCTTTTGGCAGGAAGCACTGATGGCGAACTGTTCTATTTTGATGCTGACAGTTTAAAAGTACTACAACGCGTTCGTGTTTACAATTATTATACAGCAGTTAAAAAATGCTGCTACAATCCTGCATTTGGCCGTGGGGAATTTGCAATATGTGATTGTTTCGGGCTGTTTTGTGTGTGGCGCGTTTTAAATCTGTCTGACAATTCTGAAAATTTCAAATTAGCCCATCGAAAAAGGTTGACAGTTCACCCAAAACGTCACAATTACTTTGATTTTTTTATTGATATCAGTTATTCTCCTGACGGAAAACTTATTGCTGTTACCATAGCTTGTCGACTTGATTACATTGTTAAGACGTTCATTATTGGCTCGCGTTCTGGTCAAATTTGTTATACGTTGGATTGCGTTGATGAACCTGATCGACAGTGTATGAAATCTGAGTGTCTGACCTCGTTTTTTGGTAATTTGTGTCAAGTTGCTTCAGTTACAAGTGTTCATCCCCGAGTTTTTTTCTGGAAGTTGCCCGTTGTCTACGATTTACAGACATTGTGTTTACTCGCAGTTAAAGCGTTTGTGTCTTATAATAACGTTGAAAAACTCAACATACCTTTTTGTTTGAAACAAGAATTGAAGTATATTTATTCTTAATTCACTTCAGAAAGTTAATAAATAATTACCTTCCGTTGGGCGTTCAATCACAGCAGTTATGTAAAATCTAACATAAGATGAGAAATTTTACCTAGGTAATGTGGGATATTTCACATTCATTTGGTTACAGAGTAGTATAGTACATGGGGGTACGAGAGCACAAAAAGTGCTCTCATATCCCCCATGTACTATACTACTTTTATACCGTGGGTAAAAACTATCTTTACAAATAAATGTTAACAAGCATCGGTTTTAGATGGCCCCAGCCAGGAGGCTATCGATTTAGCGAAGCTAAATCGCAGAGGTGGGAAAAAACTCAAGTTTAAAAATATGGAATCTACATGTTTTAAAAACTATCTTTACAAATAAATGTTAACAAGCATCGGTTTGGAGGGGCTTGGCAGCTCAAATTTTAGCGTAGCTAAAATTGAGCAGGGGATGAAGCCCCGAGAATTCTAGGTGACGGTGGGGAAATTTTCACGAAGTGAAAATTCGGAGCCGAAAGTGGCATTCGATGAATATTCGAAGAATATTCGAGAATAACAGAGGCTTAATATATGCTCTTTTAAAACTATCTTTACAAAATATGGAATCTATATGTTTTTGAAATATATAGATGCGTTTTACTTTTACAAACCGTCTTCAAAAATCAATTGTTAACAAAGCATCGGTTTTAGATGGCCCCAGCCAGGAGGCTATCGATTTAGCGAAGCTAAATCGCAGAGGTGGGAAAAAACTCAAGTTTAAAACTATGGAATCTATATGTTTTTTAATTTGTCTGTCAGGCGCGTGTCTTAGTGCATGTTTTTAATAATGGTTGTTTAATGTAGTTAGCACATGGCACCAGCGCATTTTAATAATATAATGTTTTACAAAACTATGGAATCTATATGTTTTTTAATTTGTCTGTCAAGCGCGTGTCTTAGTACATGTTTAACAATGGTTGCTTAATGGAGCTAGTGCATTTCATCAGCGCATGTATAATAATACAATGTTTTACAAAACTATGGAATCTATATGTTTTTTTAATTTGTCTGTCAAGTGCGTGTCACATGTACATGTTTAACAATGTTTTATATAGTTTTTGTTAAAAGTGTTTTTTACTAATTGTTTCAGGATTTTGAATTTTTTTGTATATCGCTTTTGTATTAATTACTTATTACAAACAGTTATGTGATATGTAGTCAAACATGAGGATTATTCTTCATCTTAAGTTTTAGCTTGATAGTTATCTTTAATAAATTTTTTTAATTTTTCGATTTCATCATTTACAAATTTTTTAGTTGATAGAATATTATCTTCTATAGTAGCCCTAAAATTTTGTGAAAAACCATTAGAT